TTTGGAGGATGGTCCAGAGAGCGCTGCGATTCACTGTGTCGAATGCCTTTGCAAGGTCGATGAATGCCATGTACAGAGGTTGGTTTTGTTCTCTGCATTTTTCTTGGAGCTGTCGTGCAGTGAAGATCATGTCCACGGTTCCTCTGGAGGGGCGAAAGCCGTTCTGGGATTCTGGGAGGGTGTCTTCTGAGAGGGGCAGAAGGCGGTTTGCAAGGATTCTTGCGAGGATTTTCCCAGCGGAGGTTAGAAGGGAGATACCTCGATAGTTTCCGCAGTCTGTTCTTTCCCCTTTTTTGAAGAGGGTGATGATGGTGGCGTCCTTGAAATCTGCTGGGATTTTCTCGGTCACCCACACTTTTTCTATGAGCTGGTGGAGTTGGTGTGTCAGCTCAGGTCCTCCCTCTTTAAAGATTTCAGCAGGGATCCCATCTGGTCCACTGGCTTTGTTATTCTTCTGTTGGCTGATGGCATTGCTGACTTCTTCCAAACTGGGCAGTGCTGCAAGCTCATCCCTGGTTTGTTGTTGTGGGATTTGTGAGAGGACCTCTTCGGCCACATTGGAGCTGCGGTTCAGGAGGCTTTGGTAGTGTTCTTTCCAACGTAGTGCAATTGAGTTTTGGTCCTTCAGGAGTTTGGTTTCATCTGATGAGCGTAGAGGCTGTATCCCATGGTTTCTTGGTCCATAGATGACCTTTGTGGCTTTGAAGAATCCCTGAGCATCATGGGTATCTGCCAGGTGTTGGATTTCTTCAGCCTTCTTTGTCCACCAGATGTTCTTGAGTTCTCTTGTCCTTCTTTGGACCTCAGCTTTTGCACTGGCATAGATCTTTTTCTTAGCAGCACAGTTGATGTCTCTCTGCCATGTTTGGAAGGCTTTCCTTTTCTTGTCAATTAGCTGTTGGATCTCGTCATTTTTGTCAAACCAATCTTGATGTTTCTTGGTTTGATATCCAATAGTTTCTTCGCAGGCTTGGATGATGGAGGTCTTCAGTTTGTTCCAATGTTCCTCAACATTTTCGGGGTGTGCTGTGGGTAGATGGTCCTTGAGTGCTGTTTGGAGATGGGCTCGTCTGGAGGGCTCCTGAAGGGCTTTGGTGTTCATTTTGCGCCTTGTCTTCCTTCCTTGGAGTCTGCGCTTGGGAGCGATCTTGATAGCCATCGAGGATCGAATTAGCCTGTGGTCAGTCCAGCAGTCGTCAGCACCTGTCATGGCTCTTGTGAGGAGCACGTCACGGCGGTCTCTGGCGCGTGTGATTACATAGTCTAAGAGGTGCCAATGCTTTGACCGGGGGTGCTTCCATGATGTCTTGAACTTGTTTTTCTGGCGGAAGAGCGTGTTGGTGATGACAAGGTTGTGCTCCGCACATTTGGTGAGAAGCAGGATGCCATTTGAGTTGCTGTTTCCAACCCCGTCTTTTCCGATGGTCCCTGGCCACAGGTCGAAGTCTCGCCCGACTCTTGCATTGAAGTCCCCCAGGAGGATGATTTTGTCCTCCTTAGGTATCCCCGATAGGACGGTGTCCAGCTGACAGTAGAATTTCTCCTTGATGTCTTCGTCAGCATCTAGTGTTGGTGCATAGGCACTTATGATGGTTGCCCGTTGGTTTTTGGCAAGATCGATTCGGAGGGTTGAGAGTCGTTCGTTGATGCCAGTGGGTGCTTCGGACAGATGTTTCACCAGATCATTCCTGATGGCAAAGCCAACTCCATGCATTCTTTGGTCTTTTTCGGGCAGTCCCTTCCAGAAGAAGGTGTAGCCTCCTTTTTCTTCCTTCAGCTGTCCCTCTCCTGCTCTCCGGGTCTCCTGAAGGGCTGCTATGTCGATGTTGAAGCGTCCCAGCTCCCTTGCAATGATGGCAGTTCTGCGTTCGGGGCGTTCACTGCCACTGTTGTCCATCAGAGTCCGTACGTTCCACGTACCGAAGTTCATTTTTCTTTTTTGGCCGCAGGGTGGTGACCCCACTGGACGCGGCAGTCCAGTCAGGGATAAGAGAGGCAGACTATGTTTAGGGCACCTTTTCTAGCCCCTTCCCCATGTGGGGTGAGCAGAGTGGGTCCTCAAAGGGCTGCTCAGTCGTGGATACAGCTGCCGAACTACTCAACTGCCTCGGACCTTGAGATAGAACGACTGAGTCCGTACCCACCGCCCATGTGCCAGTCTGTGACTAGGGGCTTCCAGATTTCACAGTCCTGCCCCCGTCGCCACTCGCTGATCGCCATGGGACTTTGGTTGCTTGGTTTTTATTTTCTTTGGAAGACGCCTGTGCGTGGGTTTTTTTAATGTGTGGAGGTCAGTGCACAACTGATCAACACACAGACTTCACAGAGTGAGGTTCCACTGGTGATGTAGTTTAACACAATGACCGTGGCTTCTCAGTCTGTTGCAGCCTTCTTCCGCCTTCGCAGCTGTTGTAACATATGCCATGTTATCCTCCGCCTGCTCCGCCGTTGAGGTCTTTGGGTCTTCGGACTGTGCTTGGTCTGGAACCTCCCCCGCGGCCACTCCTGGGAGTGCACGACTCCAGTTGTTGTGCCTACAGGTTCATTGGAACGCGCAAGCCCCCTCACCACGACAAGGTGACAGTCCATCGAGGGGGTGTAACTATATAAGTCTTTCATGTCCAGAGGCCCTGCACTTTGCAAGATTAGATGCACAGAGGCAGCAAAGGAAGGCTGTTGCTTGAGAGCTTTTCAAAAATGAAACTTCATGGACAGTCTGCTAGATAGAAAATATAAGGAGGGGAATCCTGACAGGAGAACTCTTACTAGAGAAATGCATAGCAAGGCCAAGCACATCCTGAGAAATAGAGTTCTCTAAGAAAGAACAACAGGATTGTATGTATCACAAAACAGAAACTCCATCTCATAATGGAAGCGAGTGGGATGGAGGTTCAACCTCAGTTTAAGACAGAAACGGAAAAGATTTTACCTCCAGTGACAATTACTCTGGGAATCAAGTACAGGTTGAATATTCCTAACCCAAAATGCTTTGGATGTTGGATGTTTTCCCCAAATTCTGGAATATTTGCATATACATAATGAGATATTTTGGAGGTGGGGCCCAGGTGTTTGAATGAAACTGATTCATGTTTCATTTCATAATTGGAGGGTAATTTTTATACACAACTTTAAAAATAATTTTGTGTATGAAACAAGGTCATAGAATCAGAGTTGGAAAAGACTACAGAGTCATTGAGTCCAATCCTCTTCCATGCAGGAAAAGCACAATCAAAGCACCCCTAGATATGGCCATCCACCATCTTTTTAAAAGCCACTAAAAAAAGGAGCTTCCACCACACTCTGAGGCTGTATATTACACCGTCACCGGACAGCTCTCACCACAAGGAAGTCCATCCTAATGTTTTGATGGAATTTCTCTTCCTGCATATGAATCTGGGCACTCTGATCCTTCAACAACCCATGTGGGCAATTTTGGATTACTTCTGATCCTCAACCTGGTAAGGTACAACAGTGTTCCTCAAGCTGATATGGGCATCACTCTGCTTCTCATTCTAACACCTGGGTCCCACCTCCAAAATATCTCCTGTGTGCCAGGGACAATTTCAGATGTTAGAGTATTTTGGAATTCTGGGTAAGAGATACTCAGTCTGTACTTGGGATGACCAAGACAGCTGGCTTTTCAATTTTTGAATATGCATACACATACATACATACATACGTATACATTATATTACATTTATTTATATATCGCTTTCCTCTCTTAAAGAGGACTGAAAGTGGTTAACGCCACGTAAAACAATACAGCAAGCCAGTAAAACAATACAATTTACATTTTGAAACCTACAACATAGGTTTGTACAATTTATAACCTATAACCTACAGGGACACTTAAACTATAGTAAAAGGTAAAGGTAAAGGTTTCCCATTGACACTAAGTCTAATTGTGTCCGACTCTGGGCGTTGGTGCTCATCTCTATTTCTAAGCCGAAGAACCAGCATTGTCCATAGACTCCTCCAAGGTCATGTGGCCAGCATGACTGCATGGAGTGCCATACCTTCCTGCCGAAGGTAGGATTGATCTACTCACATTTGCATGTTTTTGAACTACTAGGTTGGCAGAAGCTGAGGTGAATTATGGGCGCTCACCCCATTCCCTGGATTCTAATTGCCAACCTCTCAGTCAGCAAGTTCAGCAGCTCAGCGTTTTAACCTGCTGTGTGTGTCCTAAACCTGTAGTATTTTCAATTTTTGTTATGCGTATTTTAATATCTGTATTTTAATAGCATTATATTTTACTTCTTGTTGTGTCCCACCTTGAGTCACGAGGAAACAGTTAAGAAATAACAAGAGCAACGAAATTATTATTGTGGTTATCCTGGATTATTGTGGGTCCCAAGTCTAAACATGGAATTAATTTATGTTTAATGCACATCACATAAACATAACCTAAAGCAGGCATGGGTAAACTTGGGCCATTCCTCCAGGTGTTTTGGACTTCAACTCCCACCAATTGCTAACACCTTCAGGTCCTTTCCTTTTCCGAAAAGGAAGGGGCCTGAGGCTATTAGGAATTGTGGGAGTCAAAGTCCAAATCACCTGGAGAGATGGCCCAAGTTTGCCCATGCCTGACCTAAAGGTATCTATTATAAACACAGTATTGAAGTTGTGCACACTGAACCATTACAAAGCCAAGGTGCCACTCTCTCAGCCACCTATGTGGACAATTTTGGATGGTTCCACACACAACCTGATGTCTGAGGAAGGCAACGCTCCCCTTTTCCTACAGTATTAGTGGCCATTGCCTGCCTTGCTTCCCTGGAAGCTCTCACTCCAGGGACCGGCCCTGGCCCAAGGCATAGCCTGCCAGGGCGCCACAGGGCTGGACTCCGAAGCAGAGGGAGGCAGGCCCCTCTCGCCCTGGGGGGGGGGGGGGGGGCGTAGGGGAGGGGTGAGGATGGGGAGCCGTTTCCACGGCGACCGTTGCCAGGACAATCCCTGCCCGCCCGCCCGAGCGCGTCCTCCCTCTCTGCCTTCCTGACCTGCTGCTGGATCTTGCCGTCCTCGGTGACCACCCAGTGGGTGGTGGCGGCTCCCGGCGGAGGCGCCGAGCCCAGCAGCACCAGCAGGCCGAGCCCCCAACGTAGGGAAGCGCCCGCCAGCCTCCGGCCGCCCCACCCGGGCACTCCTGCCGCTGCCGCCATCTTCCTCAAGCCCGGCCTGCCCGCGCCACCCGGAAGCGGAACGCCTTAGGCCGCCATTTTGGGGGAAGAAGGATGTGGCGGGCAACGCTGTGAACATAGATCTAGGAAAAGGAAAAATCAAGAGTGCCACATGGGGATGGAAAAGCTGGGTTTAAAGACAAAAAAATACGCCAGCTGGGATTCTTTAACGGAGAAGCGTGGCGGTTACGTGTTGATTTAAGGCAGGCATGGGCCAACTCCAACTCCAGGAATTTTGGCCGATAAGCTTCTGTTAGGAACTTTGGAAGTCTAATACACCTGGAGGGCCGAAGTTTGCCCGTTCCTGATGAAAGGTGAGAAAGCAGTTTCCTTGGGGATCGGAATTGGCGGGCTGTGGCAGTCTATACCTTTCCTATTTCTATGTGCACAAAGCAGAGAAGGAGAAGTGCTGGGTCACGCAGAGGGGAGAGGACAATGTGGCAAAGGGGGCGTGGTCTCGGCGAAACTAGGCGTGACTTGCTGTGGGCGGTGGGGAATAGGAGCGCTGTGATTGGCGGGATAGTAAGGGACCGAGGAAGCGGCCAGGTTTAAAGCCCTCCTCACGTGACGCGCTGCGGCAGCAACCAATCGCGAGCTTCCTGCCGCTTTCACTTGAAGGTGATTGGAGGTGGCGCGTCTCTTGATGTTGTGAATGGAGAGAGACTCAGTGGTTGTTGCTGCAGCCGCGCGCGCAGAAATAAGGCCCCATCTAATTACTTTTTGGACTACAATTCTCAACTCTGCCAGCAAAGGAGATTCTGGCAGGTGCATTATTTTGATACTCAGATCCACAAATTAAAGCTTTTCAAATCAAGATTCTTTCTCCCTGTTCTCTTTTTATACAGAGTTGGAATATTCAACAATGTTTAATAATATTTTTAATTGATGTTTTTTTGAAATCTAGACATGACAAAAGTCGTTTTACTTAGAACTAAAATAACAAAGTGAACTTTTCTTTCTCCCATCCTTTTCTCTAAAGTTAAACTTTGACAGTATTAGGCATGGTTTTTTTTTCCGTGTCAGGAGTGACTTGAGAAACTGCAAGTCGCTTCTGGTGTGAGAGAATTGGCCGTCTGCCCAGATGTTTTGATGTTTTATCATCCTTATGGGAGGCTTCTCTCTTGTCCCCGCGTGAGGAGCTGGAGCTGACAGAGGGAGCTCATCCACACTCTCCCTGAATTCGAACCTGCGACCTGTCGGTCTTCAGTCCTGCCGGCACAGGGGTTTAACCCACTGCGCCACTGGGGGCTCCTCATTAGGCATGTGAACTACTGAAATAACTGTTTTTAAAATAAATAGGCAGCAAATTTAGTGCAGTAGTACTTTTTAATTAACAAAGGCAGACAAGGGTTCTTTCTCCCACTCTGGACATTCCAGATATATAAACTCCACTTGCCTAGTTTTCAACAGACCTCACAACCTCTGAGGATGCCTGCCATAGATGCAGGCCAAATGTCAGGAGAGAATGCTTCTGGAACATGGTCATACAGCCTGGAAAACTCACAACAACCCAGTGATTCCAGCCATGAAAGCCTTCAACAACGCAATCTGTCCACACTTTGTATACCTTTTACTGCTGAGCTGTTAGGGTCTTTGGACTGTAACAAAGTTTTGATTGGTTGATTATATATGAGGTGGGAAAGAGGAATGGGAGTGATTCAATGTGTTTGATTTCTCTCTGTGTGATTTAGATGTATTTTGAGTTTGTATTGTCCTAGGTTCAAAAGGCATGAAATTGTTGCCGCTCTGAGTCCCTCAGAGAAAGGGAGGTGCACAAAACAAAAATAAATAAAATAAACATATGTAAAACATCTTGATTGAAAAAGGTACAACTATAGAAAGTGAGATTAGTAAACTGAAAATCAATTTTGTGAAATACATATGATTGTTATTTATGAATACATTTAACCAGAATGTGAGAGTAAACCATGAAAGCTGTTTCAGAGGCAGGTTAAGAAAGCATTTCTTTATACATAGAAAAAAGTATAAATAGCTCAGATTTGTTATTTAAAAGGCCTCCTATTCAATCACTGCAACGTGCAGGCAGGACTGGAAGAAATTCCTGTCTGAAATCTGAGGATCTACTGTTAATCACTGTGGACATTATTAACTGGATGAAACAATGCTCTTATGATCACTTTTATCACAAGGGGAGGTAATTGTAGTTCCCCTTCATCATGTCCAGTTCATTAAGTACACATGACTGCATTCTTTATTTTTGATGTCCAGCTACAATGTTGATTTAGTGAGAAAGAATCACAGCCCTGTTTGAGTCCACAGGAAGAAAAAATTGCACATTTCCTTTAGATGAGCTTTGCCTTTTCTAATCACTACAAAAACAACAGACTAGAAATACATTCGACTAGTGAACTCAGTACAAAAACACCATTACACAACCAGACTCTTAATAGGTGAATTTGAGCACTCTTTACGTCCACATCATCTCATGAGAGCATCCCAGCACTGCTGACATGGACACATTCTAAAACGCATGTATTATATAGATGTTCAGAGTATTGTGTAAAAGAAACAAACCAATCACAAGCCACTAACAAAATTACAAAATGGATTTATTGCAGAGGAATAAGGGAATTTACAAATAAAAGGAAGAAGTTAGTGGATGTCTCCAAAATAATTCACTGCATCTGCAACACAAAATGATATTCAGCTATTTCTATGGACAATCTGCACATTATTTGTGAGTAGAAATATTTGAAGTCAACTTGTAGATCAAGGGACCCTTCCCAACAGCTATTCATGCACATTGATTAAACACTTTTAAAAACTAAGCTTACACATCCTTAGGGAAAGTTCCCTCAAACGGCCTTAATAGCCAAAACAAGAAAACATTATGCATCAATTTACAAGAAAACTATTGAATTATATTTTAAACTGGGCATTTTCTATGGCAAAAGCTTAATGGGGAAATTAAATCCCATTCAGTTAGAATTATTTCTCCTTCTATCACTTTATTTATGGGCAGTTTTAGAATTGTCTTTTTTTAAAAAATAAAAAGCAAATGTGAACTGACCCCCTTTTCAATTAATTTGTTCATAAACTTGTTTTACTAGACAAAGCTTCTGCTACTTACAAGAACTATGTAGTTATACATTTTTAAAGGTTAGATTTCTGTTCAGTTCGTAAACAAATAGTTACATATTGAGGGCATGTCTGAAATACCCTATCTACAAAGATTTGGTGTGCAAAATGGCCACCAATGTTCTAATGAAACTATATGGACAAGGGGAAGTAATTTAAATAAAGCTGAAAGTTGGGCCATTTTAGATATTTCTGCAGTGGTAGGGATTTTTTCCCTATCCTGTATTATTGAAATTAATATTCTATAATGCTCACCCCTCCTTTAAAAAAAGGAACAAGAAATAAATGGTAAACTTTGAAAAAGGACACACTATATTCTTTTAAATAACATTTCTGAAATGCTCATTTGAAAGATCTCATCATTACACAGATTTCACAGTATTTGAAATCTTTACAATGTACAGCTGAGATGTCATTTTAAGTGTCTAATATCATGTTTAATATTTATAGTCACAACTACTGAACTCAAAAAATGCTGCTGCTAAACTGATGCAAAATGATAAGTAACAGTTGGAGAGTTGTTTTTTCCTATTTCATATCCAAAGAACTGTAATAGTATCACACACTTGGTCTTGGGGATGTATGTGTAGCAGTTTTAGTATTTTGTGTATGTGCATGCACACAACCATTTAAAGAACACTAAAAAGCTATTTGGAAAAATGTATTACAATACATGGAGAAGAGCAAGATGTGGATTTAAATTCACTTTCATATTCACCTTACAATGAACAAATTTATGGAACGAGAAGAGTATTTTATATCCATGCTTTATTCTTTGAAAACTGAGGATTTTTTTCATCATTGATGCTATTACTGACCTTCTGCTCATTACCACTCTTCTCCATCTATTGCAAAAACGATTTTGTCTGGAGAAAGGCTGCTACTGATTTGAAATTCAATTCTTCTCTCCATTATTTTGAATCTGAATATTATACATTATGGAGTCCACTTTGTACTTTGAATGTAATATTTCTACTGAAACTGCATCCAATGGAACACCCATGCTTTTCCTGAATAAACCCTGATGCTTAAAAATAAAGTCAAAATGCCAGCTGTTAAACATCCAAAAATACAGTTGTTGCTTCACTGTAGATGAGTTTGTAGTCCGTTAGAAAAGTAGATCATACATACAAAGGTATAAGAACATTTATATCAGTCTTCTGTGGAAGGCAGTCTTTTTGAACAGAAGCACCTTCTAGGCAACTCTTCAAACTTTTAAAGGTGTTTCAGCCTGAGTGGCTTTGGAAAAGTGCCACTACACTCACCACACTGAGTGCCACTGGTTTCAGTAGATTCTTCCACGGCTGCGATTTCCACGTCCGCCCCATCCTCTCCCTCTTCCACCACGGAAGCCACCTCTTTGCTCTGAAGACAAAGAGAAACCAGATGTTTGTTTCCCAAGCAGATTGTGCATATATTTAAAATATATGTAGTAAAGCAAGAAGCACCATGAGTTTGTCCTTTGAAAAACAAATTAAACCAAAATCGAAAAAAAAAATCCAATACATTTGGCAGGAAGAACTCATATTTCGGGATTATGGCCATAATCACTATGTTCGAGGACTTACTGAATGCTTCACTTCTGTACTTTACGGGGACTGATATTATACACAACCACTATTTTTGTAGCTTGCTGGGTTTTATAGTATATTTTACATTAATGGGGGTTTTATTGCTGTTTTAAGTACAATTGGGTAAATTTTATTATTATTAACATTTCCGTATTTTGTTGCACTATTGAGTACTTTCTGTCAGCTCCCCGAGTCCCTTTGGGGAGATGGTGGTGGGATACAAATAAAGTATTATTATAATTATTCATATTCTAAAATTTCTCCATGTAATATACATAAGGACATAATTAACATTTTTCTTTAACTGTAAGACACCCTAATTTCAGTATTACCACAACTACCAACAACAATAAATAAGGTACACCTGCAATTCTAAGTTGTACCCCATTTTTGAAGCATTTATAGAGGGAGAAAGTATGTCTTAGAATTGAAGAAATACAGTATGTGGAATGACTCTAATAAGAATCAGATCAGCTTCCAACACAGAGAAGTGATCATTTTAATTTTTGATAGTTTAGTTACTCTTCAACTTTTGTGTGCTGTGAACATTTAACTATGTTTCTTTTAACTGTTGTAAGCCACTTTATGTCCTGAATTGAGAAAAATATAGGACATGGTAATAGTAACAGCAATAGTAATAACAACTCTGCATCTTGTACTCTTGCCACTCAAAAATTGTTACATCAAAACTCTGATATAACATTTAATTGCTGTTGCATACTAATAAAGTCCTTAAAATCTGGCTAATATGTTTCCCAAAATAAAACTGATGGCATTAATGACACATAAGAGCTACATTTGTATGTCAGTAATATTTTTTGCAACCATAACAAGAAATATTTGGTCTTTCTAAAAGAAGAAGCTGCATACTGTCTAGCAATTTTTCTTTATTAAAAAGATGAAGGGTAGAAAGTTGTACTCGCTCCTAGTGACTTGTCTAATGTTTTTTCATTTTATCTGAATTCAATAATTTAAATCAATTCTTTTGTTAGTCTCTAAGATATCTAAGTCAGCTAAAAGTGGATAAAAATTGAGTCAGTTTGCTTTGTGCTATGGTACAAAGAGAGAGAGAGAGAGAGAGAGAGAGAGAAACCCTAGAGAGCATTCAATGAAAATGCCTAAGAAAAAAGGAAGCATTTCTCAAAACACTGGGAAAACGGGCTTTCATTAGACAGTAAAACACCATCCTTCCACCATCTTCACTCATGAAGATTTCATACTAAGGGATATATAGCAGACAGAATACGAGCACAAAAAAGCTTATTTCAGGCAGAGCTAAGCTGCAATATCCAGAAATATATTTCAGGGTATCCAAATATTCTGTTTCTTATCATATTTGTCTTTTCTTAAGGTGATGTGAATAAAATTTAAGGTAAGAACTGCACTAGACGAATCTAAAAGTAAATTCTGAAGTGACTGAAGAAAGACTTACCATTATTGGACATTTATAGAAAAGTCATAATCTGGCAATACTATGAAAAATTAGCAAGGGAGGTAGAAAATGAAAATCAACAATATGGATATAAGTTAAAAAAATATTCAAGGAGCCATTAAATGCTAATCAAGGTGGTCAGTTGAAACATTCACACCTAGCTCCAGCAGACAAAAGTCCTTTGTCCCACCCTGGTCATTCCACAGATATATAAACCCGTTTTCCTACTTCCAACAGACCTCACTACCTCTGAGGATGCTTGCCATAGATGCAGGCGAAACGTCAGGAGAAAATGCCTCTAGAACATGGCCATATAGCCTGGAAAAACCTACAACAACCCAGTGATTCCGGCCATGAAAGCCTTCAACAATACATTCAAGGAATAGCCTGGCAATTGATATTGTATGACAATGAGTAATCTTTAAGATCTTCCTGTTCCAAACAAGACATCTATTAAAACGCACCATAAGAAAAGTTGCCCAAATTGCTGCTGTATTTTCCACTGGGTGGATTATAAATCTGTCTGGCATCCCTTTTTGGTCCTGCTGGAGCTTTCTTTGCGGGCAAGTCTGAAGTGGTGTCTTCACTAGCTCTTTTTTGCCTTGAGAGAAAACGATAAAAATAATAAAATAAAGATCACAAACACATTATTTTCACTTGTTCTACTGGAAAGCAACATGTACATTTCATGGCACTGTATTAGTAAACAACAACAGCAAGAATATTGTTTGCTCAAACTTGGAAATGGACTAAGGCACCAATGAAAGAATAGATTGCTAACGTTGCTGAGTCAGCTTAAATGGTCAAATTAAAGTGAATAAACAGAATGAAGACATTTTGAAAGAGTGGAAGCAAATCAATATAGAGCCAGAGGCAACTGATAGTATTGATGAGGTAAGAATTATTTATTTTGCTGAAGTGCATTAGTAAATATGAAATATTGTATTTTGCCTCTTGTTCTGCTGAACTACTGTATTTAGACTGCCAAGGTAAAGACACAGCATGAGTGGATTTGGACACTGGTATCCATTTCACCCTAACAATTTCAACATGCTGCTTTTTAGTTACCTTGACAATGAAGCCTAACATGACATTAAACAAGATTCAATGGAATGGTCAGAATAAACAATTATAGATATAGTTCAAAAGCACTTCCCTACTTACCCAGCTTCAGCTTTCTGTACAGGTTTCCAAGAGAGTGTAACTGTACTTTTGTATGAAGGAGGGATATGGAAGAGATCCTAAAGGTAAAATGAGAGGATTATATTTTTCTGTCAAAACTGAGTATAAATTAGAAGGATTTAATACATTTGAAAAAATATAGTTGTAAGTTTTTCACATTTCCTGAAAACAAATTTCTTGGAACCATAAAACAAGATTTCCCAGAAATAACATATTTAAAAAGAAACAAGCTTGAATTTATCCTTTTTAGAAACTTTGCTTGTTCGCCCTATCATCTGTAGTCTGCTAAGCACTAGATAAAGATTAAGAAAATAATAAAACTTGTTTTAGAACTACTGCCACAAGACGTACTATCAAAAATAGAGGTAACTCACCTTGATTAAAACATTGATGTTATTAGTAATTTTCAGTGCAACCACTTTAATTTTGTTCTGCAAAAAGAAAAATATTGTTTATTTTTCAAGTTAAACTCTTTTAAAAGCGATATTTAATATATTTGTAGGCCTCCCCTAAGAAGCAACTACAGGTTATCCCCCCAAATTGTATACATCCATAACAGTTTATAATTCAGGATTTTGTTTTTGTATATCCTGAGACACTGCCTTAAAGACTATGTAATTCAGTTCTTGCTACTTTCAAAGTTGTTCTTTTCAATTTTTTGAAGTGATGTAAGCAATGCACTTTTTTTCCTATTTCCAACAAAACAGAAATGGATTTCTAAAAATACCAGATACATGCCATTCATATTCAATTAATCTCATTGTCTAGATGTCCTGGGAGGGACCCTTCTGTAAATAGGAGTTCTCTAGGATGAAGAAACATGGACATAACAAAAGACCTGTGCTGAAGAAAGAGAGCAGGGTGGCATTTTCTGCATGTTTATTTATTTATTGTATTTCTATCCCGCCCTATCTCACCCTCAAGAGGGGGAACTCAGAGCAGGTGACAGCTTAGCACAATTCGATGTCATATCAAAACATAAACATAACTATAAATATATTAACATTAAATCATTACACACAAAACAATCACATAAATACAATTAAAACGGGATTTAAAACAGCAATTAAAACAACTGGCTATCATGCATCCAATCACAACTCTAAACCTATGCAGGCACTTATGGCTGGAGGGAGCATTTCAGAATTTTGCCACTCTTCCTTCTGTATACTTTAGAAATTCATCTCAAATTCCTTCTCCAAACAGATTTTCAAATGGGACAGGGGATCCAAGGCACTCCACCCAATATAGATATGAACCAAGTTTGATTATGAACTAAGCATTATTAACTTAATACACACATAGGGTGAGTATACTGTAGTAGTAGTAGTAATAATAATAATAATGATAATAATAATAATAAATTGTAATGAAGACATCCGTTGGTTTACATATCATTCTAAAATGGTTTGCTGATAACTGCTAGAACAAAAATCAATTATACTGAAACTGTACTTGTGGGTTAAACCTACTTGTACACATCAGAGATCGGTCTCTAGCTTGCCTTAGCTTGTTATGTGCTCCGAGAAAGAATCAGTGCAGCACCTACTTTCACACTCCCAAATCTGCCAGGAAGTTCAACAGTGTTATCTCCAGTTTCTTTAATTTTTGTCATGTTATATTCATCAGTGAGATTTGGTTACAAGTCAGTTTCAGAACAGGCCAATTTTCAGTCAGCGTTTATTACGCTAATTAAAGCCCAATGCACTATGAAAACTTGAGAGTCAGAGAACGAGAGATAAATTATATTTTTTTTATGGTAGAGGTGTTGTATACATGAATGGAACTAAGTTTTGTACCAATTCCTCCTGTATTTTAAATGTGTGATAATATCAAACCTCTTCTGTCTTTAATGCTTCTCCTGTCTTGCCTTGGAGTGCCAAACGAAGTTGACGGATGTAAACTTGCAGTCCTCTGGCAAAATACTGTAACCTAACAAAAGCAGTTGGATATTAAGTTATGTAAAAACATGCACTGAAATCAAGGTGAAATTTCTTAAAGTAGAATAAAAAAGGTGCCTGTTGCCAACATTTAACCAACTGACTTTTGACCCATTAGAAAAATGGGAAAGAAAATTCTCTCTCCTCCTCTAATGAAATTAGTTTACCTATTAGCCTTCAGAGGAAAAAGAGCACAATTCTGTAGCTATACTTCGGTTAGTGCTATTCAGTTGAAATCTGGCCAGGAGTAATTACTTCATTTAAAAAAAACACACAACCTGATTTTAAAATCTTTCACTTTCTCTGTGTTCAGCTTTGCAGTCAGGAAGTCTGGAAGCTTTCGTCCCAATTGATGAAAGCTGTATAATAAGCATTCCACATAGCTGAACTGCAGTTTGGGTTCTTCACTGCCAGCATTCTCCCCATTCTCTGCTTCTTCTGGAGGAAGAGGCATGTACTCCTGTAAAAAACAAACAGGTGATTCTTATATCCATATGCTTTGAAGTCAGGTGCTATCAGCATCATGATGATACCCAGATCTATATTTTCTGTTTAATCGATGCAGAAGAGGCTGTAGAAGTGCCTAACTGCTATCTTGATGCAGTAAAGGACTGGGGTTGGATAAAGAGACTGAGGCCTAATATAGACAAAACAGAAAGGCTGCTGGTATATAGGAAGATCAATTTGGGATTGGGATCACAAGCTTTTATGAAAGGGGTTGCTCTTCCCCTGAAAGATCAGGTTCACAATAGCACCGACTAAGGCAATAGCAGCTGCTGTCTAACAACAATTTGAGTGAAACACAATTTACCTACTCAGCCACAGTATGTGAAGCATTGCAGTTCAATATGAAAGTAAAAAAAACCCACACATTTTATCATCTCTAAGCTGCCATTCAACATATATCTGTTTTGCTATTCTCAGAAGACCAAAGCCTATGAATCCTAACATGTTTTGTTATTAAATACAGAGAAGATCTGCTATATAATATCAGTAAAACAATTATATTATATGACACATCTAAGTTCACTTTCAATTTATTTCAGTCATAGTAGGCACTGTTCAATTGCTGAAATACTAAACACACAATCTAAGCTGTAATGATGTCTGATTTATATCATTTAAGCTAACAATCTTCTTACCAATAATTTATCAAAAAGCTTTTTTAAATTTGATTCCAGCTTTTCCATGTCACCACAGAAGGAACTCATCTCAGCAAGCAGTTTCAGTACCTGGAGATGGGGGAAAAACACAAAGACCATTTTTGGAAAATTAGAAATTGCAACTTTCTAAATAGTTTTAATATAGAGTGGATTCTAAAAGGAAAACAAAAAGAGAATTGGCTTGTTACTGGATATAACATTTTTGGAAGATTGCAATTTTTTAAAAGATAGATAGGACCTGTATCTCTTAAATATTTATTTCACATATTTATACCCCGCTCTTCTCACCCTAAAAGGGGATACAGGGCATCCTTACAGCACGCAGCAATTTGATGCCAATACATATAAAAATAAACAAATTCAATTAAAACCATATAATTAAACATTAATTATTAAAACATCAATAAAAATCACATAATCCAGATCTGTCCAATTGTCAATTCCATTAGTCTGTTATCCTTACTGCACTATTTACTAGTTGAATGCTTGGTTCCATAGCCATGCCTTAAATAGGTTCTAAACTTGAGACAAGGCAGCAAAAAGACCATCTGGTCCAACCTCTTGCTATCTAAATATTCCTGACAGACAGCCCTCCAACCTCTGTATAAAAACAACCAAAGAAGGGATTCCGTTCCCTTTATAAAAAGGAGTGAGCGAAATAAGGAAGGTTCATAGTAATACTTATCCAAAATAGTATTAAATTGCTTCCTGCATTCACTTAGCATAGTAAGAAGTGTAGTTAACCAGTGTTATAGTCATTACATTTCAAGTTAGCTTACCTCTAACTGGATATCAAGGCCTTCAACAGGGGTGGTCAGAGAACTCAAATTTGGCAACACATGCTCACAGAAGTAAGTGACAAATCTTGTGGAGTGAACATTTTTCTGTGGAATATTAAAAATAATTAATTTTCCCATGCTTTTTTGCACAATTTCAATCCAATCAATAGAAGCTAGCATTAGAGATTCTGATAACTGGACGAACTTGTGATATATCTTAACAAAGATAAACATGCCCCTGATTTTTTTTTATGAAAGAAACACCAGTAAAGCTTTAAGAATACAACATTCTCAGACAAACAAGAGTATAATATAAATGCAGCTATAGTATTTTCAGTCAGTCGTTCGCCTACACAATTGATCAAATCACTTCAGATGTGCAGGTTATTAATACACAGGCATACTTATATTTGGAAGAGACTGGGTACACTATTATTAAATGATAAAACAATTCCTCCCATGGACATGTGTACATGTGAGCAGATATAAAACACCTGTTTATTGGTACTTTCCTAATATCTGAGTTTCCTGAACAAAGAGTTTCACAAATGAGGATAAATGTAACCTTCATCTTTGAGAACTGCTTGAAAATATTTATATTAATATCAGGAAAAAGTGAGCCCTTACTCTAATAGTAAAAGAACCTTCTAACAGGCTTGATTACTCTGGTCCATGAAATTATATGTTATCTTTATCATGTCACAAGAATTTTTATTGTCTTTGCTATGATATGAAACAAAATATATACCCTTTGGAAAATCTTGATATCCTTATCTTGTTCCAATACAAGTAAGAACCAGAACTTTTAGTATAGTTGTACCACTTCTACTTAACCGACAAGACTGCAACATTTTAAATGTTCTAAAATAACAGGGAAAAGGAATAACAAATGCTTGGCTATTTTTATTGAGACTAGCTTAGGTACTAGGTGTTGCCAAGGTATACATTTCCTAATGGGACCATTAATAAAATTGTAAAGCTAACAGTGAGTATTTCTAATAAATAGCATTAGAAAATGGATACTTGGGCAACACCGGGTACATAAGTTATAGGTATATACTTACTGAGAATAGTGGGACAGCTTGACGGGTACACTGCAAAAGTCTGTCCACACAATCAGGGTCAGATGGATTGAAGGTCTGTTCAAGGTCAGCTTGTTCAGCCACTAGTTCAACTAGCTGCTGCCGCCCACTCACTGTCTGCAGGCTTTTTAATCCAGATAGTATTTTCATGAATAAAACAAACTCTTCACCAGTTACATCCTCAAGAACCTAAAGAAACAAAAACAAAGAAGGGGAAATTGAAAATATTGTGTAATCACACTAATGGAAATGAGTAGAAAAAATTGTATATTTTCCCCCTTATATATGAAAATTAATTTATTTTTAAAGTGAATTTCAGCATACAAACTTCCTTAAGATTTTGGCTCAGAACAATTTCTACCAAGGTGATTTCTGCGCAGAGATTTGAATATTGGTACCTATGTCCATTCCAGTCGTTTATTATCATATATCACATTGAGCCTGATTGTTCTTATAAATTGAAATAATCTTTTTTTATATCCCACTTTCTGTCAAGAAAGACACTCAAGGCAGTTTAATTGACCATAATGGAATTAAGTCAGGGTAAGAAAGCATGCTTTAGAAACAGAGAATGGCTATCCAAACATCCTACTGCTGCAACATAACAATGTTCAAGTTGCATTACACAAAGTAGTAGCAAATACAAATGTGACCATAATTACAATATGTTTATTAGAACTATTTAATTTATTTATTTGCTGCATTTTTATCCCACTCTATCTCAACCCCAAAGGGGACTCAGAGCGGCTTGAATGAATGGAAAACATTTTTTCTATATATCATTGAGGATCACTGGGAAAAATCAATCAGGTTCTGCATCCAGCCATAAGTGACTCAGTAGTATTATTTATTATTTATTTATTTATTTGCTTTATTTTTATACCGCATTTTTCAGCCTAAATCGGCGACTCAATGTGGTCTACAATGCAATTTATATAACAATAACAATTAGATTAAAACACAACATACACGACAGACAATACAAGACAAAACAACGTGGTCATATTAAGTAACACACACTTTCTACCACTCCATCTCTACTCCCATTCATGAAATCCATTCATGAAATCATACCAAGGACTTGAGCTAAAACATCTCAAAAGGAATAATTAAAGTCACCAGATTTCTTTTAAATCAAGAGCCAAATTTGATAATGCTGTCATTGAACAAAAGAGCATCAGAGGAAGACTGAAGCATAAAGCCACTAAACTGCAGCTCATGAACTGTTTCAATTTTATTGTCTTTTGTTCAAATTTAAATATTGATTGGTATCCAATTAAGCTTGATGAATGAACACATCATATAAGTGGAATGATGAGAGAAAGATGTTTTTCTTCTCCACTGTTCTCTGCATGTTCTCAAAATCTTCTTCAGAGAGCTGAGTGGTTCTCTACACCCATTGGGGAAAATGGGAAGAGGAGCAAACAAAAAATTATACTAAGTGTAGATTCATTCACATGCCATTGGACATTGACCAGTTTTCTCATCACATGACATGTACAAATTGGTCTACTGCCATAAACCTGTGCTATCATCCACAATCATTTTTTTGTGAATGGTTGTTGTCAGTAACAGTTGTCTTTATTACAACACCTCCTTTAATTTTGCAGTTTATAATCCTGTCTAATTATAAACACAAATCCATAATAGACTGGCACAAAATTCCCTCTATAATTTAACTAAATTAATATGCTTACCTTCTTTGATTCTGTCAGTATGAGCTCTTCTACTTCTTTTGTTAACACTTCTTCAGGTAATGTTTTGAGTTTTGTGGAGAGGAATTTGATTGCTCTTTCTCGCACAATATCTTCGCCTTGGAGTATTTGACTGAATAAGCCACCCAATGTTCCTTAAATAAATTAACAACATATTATTTCTTTTCCAGTCCAATACAACACAGTAGAAAAATCCAATTAATTCCAACAGATCTGCATTATACTCTCCAATACTGGTTGCACCACTGAACCATTATCATTTATTCATTTAAATATTATCCATTTATTGTTTGCATTGCTAAACATATTTTCTCTGTATCCTCTTAAAGACCCTAAATTATGTATTTTTTCACAACTAAAAGTATATAAAACGCTAACATTATAAAATATGTCAGGGTAAAAATGACCGCTTTACCTTTAGCATCCATCTTAAATATGCTTAGCAAAGCATTGTTTACCAAGTTGAATTCTGCAGAATCATCTAGGGAAAAGAAGAAGAAAACAAAGAATCAAAAATCTTTATATCTAAAACAAAACCAAGTACAGCTAAATCAGAATATTCTGGGCTGAATGTCTGTTCTCATTTCTGTAATCATGAAAATGAGATATTAAATTATTCTTATCTTATTATTGAGAGCCAGTGTGGTCTTCTGGTTTGAGGGTTGGACCACGATATTGGGAGACTGGGCTTTGAATTACTACTTGGCAATGGAAAACTATTTGGTGACCTTGCGTAATTCATACTCTCTTACTCTCAGAGGAAGCTATATGGATATAATAACCCCTAATCATAAAGATACCATCTTTTAGTGGGTTTTAAATAATGTTCTTAACAAAGAAGAAATAAACCATTTTCCATGTTTCTTTTAAAGAAACTGAAGACAACATGGCCAAAAGATTCAATTTCTTCCATCCATAGGGAGAAATGTGAATAAGACCTAGTTGTCCCAAACTTTAACAAGGCAAAGTCAGCACTTTAACACAAGCAAACACAAATGCTGTCCTATAGTTAAAAGCTCTGCAAGTACATGTCCAGGGCCACATTAGCTACACCTTTGAAATGTTATTTAAGGATAGTTAAGAACCAGAACTGTCACCAACAGTTCTCAGATGATATAAATTGGTGATCATTAATCTTGTCCCTAATACTAGATATTAGGGCCATCTAATAAATGACCATCACAGCACACGACACAAATGGCCAAGAAAAAGGGATCAGGTAAAAATGAAGGACATAAAGTCTTTTAAAATGCATGCTGGCAAAGAAAACAGAAGTAGATTAAAGCGACAAGGGCACCCAGAGCAATCAATATTTATCTTTGCTTTGATTATAACTTTCAAACAGAGTACAAATGCAAGCACCAATTTTTCTACCTGATTGCAGAAGCTGAGTGAGGATGTCAGCTACCCTTGGAAGATTGTCACCTGTAGCAAATTGGGGTAATTCCTTAATTGCTTGTCGTCGGATCTGTAAACACAATAAAGCACACACACACTTATTCAACAACTAAAGAAATGAATTAAATTATTATTCTTGCTGTATGATATTCTGAAAAAACAGGTGGGGGAGTCACATCTGTCTTTTTAGCTAAACGCAATGTATGAGTTATATATCAGTACTACTCATTTACTATATGCTTAATTCACATAAAGAGCAAAAAATAGCTTTGCTACTCATGTAAGGATTTTCAAAATCCTTCTTAGTGCACTCTTTTTCATTAAGGTCATAAAAGTTGCAGATTTTCAAGACCTCAAGGAAAATGTCACCAAAAGTAATTGGGTGATTTACACAGTGTTTGGGTGGTCATTTCTACTCTTAGCACCTTATATGTGTGGGCAGGGGAGAAAAATGTGGTTCCACAGAGAGACATTAGTTTAAATAAAAGATATTCATTGTGAAATATGACAATGCAACAGGAATATGATAGATGCCATAGCTGCTACTCCTGCTACTGATTTAGGACTTTTGTATGAAGAATGTTTTTAATTTTAATATTTTCAGATGGGAAAAAGCATTAAATCAAAGAAGGAATGGGATACAAGTGTTAAGCCCTTGTATAGCAACTGATGAGAAAGAAAAAGGGCACTTACAGAAACATCTTCATCCTCACAAAGGTCCAATTGGGCATTTATAGCTGAATCTGCCAGCTCAGGAAAATGTTTGAAGAACTTTGGAATAAACTGTGCTGCTAATCTCTTCTCTTTGGCACCTCCCTTGACACCATCCAAAATCACTTGATAGGCATCTTTGTGCTAGAAGAGAAAACATATGTTATTTGCTTTATATAGTTTAAGGATGCAGAATGTTTAAGTCACCACTGAAAACTCAGAATATAGCTATAAGGATGAATGAAACTAATAATAATGCCTGACTGTAAAGAACATATTTGTAGTTGTTAATATGGATTTGGTATCCATTATGCTTAGACTGGAAGTATCCGAACATCTGTACTTACATATATGTATATAAGGAGATATCTTGGAGATGGGTCCCAAGTTTAAACATGAAATCCTTTTATATTTCATATACACCTTATATGCATAGCCTGGCAGTAATTTTATACTATATTTTTAAATGAGTGCATGAAACAAAGCTTGTTCATATCAAAATATCAGAAGCATCAGTCACTCATATGGTCAATTTTAGATTTTGGGAGTTTTTTCAGATTCAGAATTTCAGATAAGAGGCGTATAAAACATGATCCCCCAAATGACACAAATTCACAAGGGATCTGGGTAATCAATACCCTCTAAGGCAACAAATTTGAGAAAAATCAAAACCTTTTCCATGTAGAAATGGGCAGTACTACATATTTCAATGCAACCCAACTCTGGGTTATCAGAAGGTCCAGGTGGTGCTGAATAATGTCATATTTCATAGAAATGACATTTGAAATGCATAACAATCCAGGGCTCTAGCATCCATACTTGGCACAATTCAAGGTATTGGCTTATGAAACAATGAGGTGTGTCATCGAGAAATAGCGTTTCTCTATTTACAGCCACCCATCAAAATTAAAAGACCACCATCCTCCATGTGCTATATAAACACCCAGAGATGCATATCTCCAAACTATGCAACTGCTTTCCCCTTCACTTCAATTGATGGGCATCTTATTTAATCTAATAAATAATTAAATAATTCTTGCAGTTTTCATTTTTGTGGATTTAAAAATAATAATTGATACTTTAAGCATGCTTTAAGTCTTACGCTACCTGTCCCAAGACTGCTGGATTATAAATGCATGCAAGAAAGGGGCCCTTCTTATAATCCAGAGACTGTTACAGAAAACATTTGTTAAAATACATGAGGAATGTAAATTAAAGCAACTTGTCTTGTGGCAAAGATTAATTTGGTAGCCTTTAAGGCACCAAAAGCACTTTACTTCTTTCTGCTACAGCTCACTATTATGACTATATCTCTGGAGACTGGAAATTAACACAACTTGTAATGCTAGAAACTTCAGCAGCATGAGTCCTCATGGGTGGCAACAGGCTCAATGAAAGGACACATTCTAGCCTCTTCTCTAGCAACAGCAGCCTAAAACAACAGGAAGATTCCAGGCAGCAAGATTTTTCTGCTACATAACACACCTAAATAAATCCGAGACATATGTATATCATTTTTTTCTGGTGCAAAGAAGCCTAATAAAGAAAAATATGGAACATAATCTTTACGTGAAGGCTATAATTTTACATACAAGCTTTGCAAGCTTAATTCAGAGGGTAATGTATTGTATTATGTTATGAGGATGTACATAGACTGCTCATACCTCAAAAACCAATATTACAGATGAGACAAAAATGGAAGAATTGTAAGTGTGCCATTTCTTACAGCAGCAGAAAGAAATTCACTTTTTAAATTTAAGATTTAATTATAAGTCAAATTTCAATGTACCTTAGGAAGCTTTGGATACAAACCAAATCATGGTATGTATCTAAAACATGGCATTGCACTGAGAACACATCTGCAAAGAAGTTACCCAAGAGGGAGTTGTTAGTTGAGGACATGGGTTTGGGGGGGATCCAAAGATCCATCTATGTTGTTGCTGGTATAAATTCTGCCATGTAAAATGCACCTAGAGCTGGTTTTCATTCCTACAGATAACATAGTATTGCATTTAAAAATGAGCAAGGCACACAGTAGATTATGGCAACCCTCTTACAGGATTTCCTTGGCAAGATTTGTTCAGAAGAGGCTTGCCACTGCCTTCTCGGGAGGATGAGAAAGGCCGACTTGTCCGAGCTCAACCAGAGGCTTTCATGCCAGAAGAAAACCCCAGTCTTTGTCCAAACCGTTAGACACTTGCATTCCTGTGGACAGTGTGCCATTGCACTTAATTCAGGAATAAGACATCTTGAACCAAGCAGATCTCATTGGCTACAACATGCACACCTTTGCTGATGACTCCCAAATATATTTCTCCATGCCTTCAAAAACAGCTTGAGATAAGGATAGCATATCTCCTCTGAATGAATGCCTGGAGGAGATAATGGGCTGGATGAGAAAAAATAAGTTAAAACTGAATCCAGACAAAACAGAGGAGCGTGCCATCAAAGGTCCTCATCTGGGGATGGAGGTTTGTCAACTAGTTCTAGATAGGGTTACACTCCCCCTGAAAGACTGTGTTTGCAGTTTGGGAGTACTCCAGGATCTGTCTCTCCAAATGTCAGTCCAGGTAGATGCGATAAGTCAGAACTGCCGTCAGCTTCATCTGCTACACCAGCTGCATCCCTTTCTAGATTTGGAGGCCCTGAAGATGCTAATGCACACACTGGTAACCTCAAGGTTGGACTTCTGCAATGCACTTTACATTGGGCTACCCTTGTACCAAGTTCGGAAACTCTAGGTAAAGGTAAAGGTTTTCCCCTGACATTAAGTCCAGTCATGTCCAACTCTGGGGTATGGTGCTCATCTCCATTTCTAAGCCGAAGAGCCGGCGTTGTCCATATACATCTCCAAGGTCATGTGGCCAGCATGACTGCATGGAATGCGGTTACCTTCCCACCGGAGTGGTACCTATTGATCTACTCACATTTGCATGTTTTCGAACTGCTAGAATGGCAGAAACTGGAGCTAACAGTGGAAGCTCACGCAGTTTGTCGGAATCGAACCTGCGACCTTTCAATCAACTAGCTCAGCAGCTCAGCGCTTTAACCCACTGTGCCACCGGGAGGTCTTCAGAAATTCTAGTTGGTTCAAAATATGGCAGCCAGATTGGTTACAGGAAGATCTAAGAGTCAGCATATTATACGTATCCTAAAATCACTCCACTGCCTGGCAATTAGTTTCCAAGCAAAGCACAAAGTGTTGGTTTTGACTTTCAAAGCCTAACATGGTTTGGATCCAGGTTATCTAAAGGACTGCCTTCTCCCACCCAATCCACCCTACACACTTAGGTCCTCTGGGGGGAGGCTACACCAATTAGCCAGAACCTGATTGGCAACCACCACCCAGAGGACCTTTTCATGGGCAGCATTAAGGCTGTGGGGCTACCGATCAGCTGTCAGAATTTAAGGCACAAGTGAAGACCTGTCTCTTCCAGCAGGCCTACCCAGTCTTTAAACATAAACATGCATTTTAATGCATGTCCTTTGTTTAATCTTTGTTTTGTCTGTTTTAATATGTATTTCATATTGGCGTGTAACTTTTATGGAGGTACATTTTAGTTTGTATATTTGTAGCGTTTTTGCTGTGTTTACGTATTTTAATTGCTTTGTAACCCGCCTTCAGTCATGAGAAGAGGCGGGTATGAATAAAAAAAAATATGATTGGCAAAGAGCGAAAAGGCTTTCTAATGTAAATGCAGCGATACAATTCCAAACTCTTTTGGGCGTTTGTAGAAGCGGTAGAGAATTCACACCAATAACCCTGGATGCAAAATCTAGCGTCGACCTTGGCTCCCAACACATGAAAGAGCAGAATACACTTCATAGGCGAGCCCGGGAACCGAGGGAGGCGTGGAAAGAGCTTCCAGAAGTTCCCCCCGCAAAACAGACTTTCCACTGAGCAAACCAGAGGCCTCAGAGAGGCACCGAGGCCTGCCAGGGCTAAATGGGGGAGAGGATCCGAGCCCGGCTCCCTTCATCGAGACGCGAGTCCGCAAGGCCCCTAGCTAAGGCCTTTTGCTCCCTCGTTCTCCTTCCCCCCACCCCTCGCCCGAAGACGAGGCCCAGGTGCCTGGAGCTCCGGGCTGAGCCACCCGGCCGGCCCTGCGCCCTTCCCCACCTCGGCCGCGGTCTCCTTGGCGTCGGCTAAGATGCCGTAGTTGCGGTACAGCTCCTCCACGGTGGGCATGGCGGCGGCGGCGGCGGCGGCGAGGGCTGCGCTTCCTCCTCCTGCTCAGGCCTGCCAAACCCTCGGCTTCTGCGAAAGCGACAGCAACAGAGACGACAACGACAACAGCTTTCCCTCACCACCCCCACCGCGAACGGAAGCGCCGTGTCAAGCCGCGCAGGCTTATCGCAACATCCGGCGCCGGGGAAGCAGGCCGCGCGTGCCCCACAGCGACCCCTGTCGGCGCGGAGGGCGAGCTGCAGCTGGAGAGTTGGCGGGGACAGTGGCAGCAGCAGAAGAAGCAGAAGCAGTACCAGAAGAAGCAGCAGCAGCAGAAGAAGCAGAAGCAGCACCAGAAGAAGAAGCAGAAGCAGCACCAGAAGAAGAAGAAGCAGCAGAAGAAGAAGCAGCAGCAGCAGCAGCAGAAGAAGCAGCAGCAGAAGAAGAAGCAGAAGCAGCACCAAAAGAAGCAGCAGCGGAAGCAGCACCAGAAGAAGCAGCAGCGGAAGCAGCACCAGAAGAAGCAGCAGCAGAAGAAGAAGCAGAAGCAGCACCAGAAGAAGCAGGAGTGGAAACAGCAGCAGCAGAAGAAGCAGAAGCAGAAGCAGCACCAGAAGAAGCAGGAGCAGCAGTAGAAGAAGCAGAAGCAGCACCATAAGAAGCAGGAGCGGAAGCAGCAGCAGCAGAAGAAGCAGAAGCAGCACCAGAAGAAGCAGGAGCAGCAGAAGAAGAAGCAGAAGCAGCACCAGAAGAAGCAGGAGCGGAAGCAGCAGCAGCAGAAGAAGAAGCAGAAGCAGCACTAGAAGAAGCAGGAGCAGCAGAAGAAGAAGCAGAAGCAGCAGCAGAAGAAGCAGAAGCAGCACCAGAAGAAACAGGAGCAGCAGCAGAAGAAGCAGCAGCAGCAGCAGCAGCAGCTGCGTATTCATATATTTATCGTGTTGGAATGGAATTGAAAATACAGTTATAACGTATAAAAAACCACAAACAAAGTTTTAAAACCCTTGGCATTACACTAGATTTCCTTTGACCAGAAGCTGGCCACTTGGAGTACCTCTGGTGTCGCTGTAAGGAGGTCCTCCATTGTGCATGTGGTAGGGCTCAGACCGCATTGTAGTAAGTGGTCTGCGGTCTGCTCTTCTCCACACTCACATGCTGTGGATTCCACTTTGTGGCCCCATTTCTGAGGATTGGTTCTGCATCTTGTGGTGCCAGAGTGCAGGCTGTTCAGCGCTTTCCAAGCTGCCCAGTCTTATGTGTACCCAGGAGGGAATCACATTTGGTATCAGCTATGGATTGAGGTTCTGGGTTCAAGCCTGTCACTTTTGGACTCTCACCTGCTGAGGTGTTCCTGCGAGTATCTCTGTAAATCTTATGAAGCTATTTCTTGATTTAAGGTGTTGGCATGCTGGCTGATATCCGAACAGAGAATGGACTGGAGATTTCACTTCCTTGGTCCTTTCATTATTGGCGGCTGCTGCAAGATATCTGCCCTTGTGCTTTGCTACTCTGCTGGTGAATACGCATGCCTAGCATGGAATACATGGCACCACATTAAAACAGTGGATGTGACTCTTAATGAGACATGGCGCATTATCACAGGATGTCTACACCCCACACCGATGGAAAAATTATACTGTTTCGCTGGTATTGCATCACCTGACATCTGTTGGGAAGTAGCAGCCAGTAATGAAAGGACCAAGGCAATGGTCCGGTCCATCCCTTGTTCAGATATCAGCCAGCATGCCAAAGTCTTAAATCAAGAAACAGCTTCCTAAGACTGAGAAAGATACTTGCATGGACACCTCAACAAGTAAGAATCCAAAAGTGGCAGGTTAAAACAAAGCACTTTAATTAGTGGGTGAGACCAGATGAGAAACTCCCTCCTGGGCAGGCACACAGAAGAGTGGATGACCTGGAACATGCTAAACAGACTGCGCTCTGGCACCACTAGATGCAGAGCTAACAGAGTTTGGAGTATTTTGGATTCTGCAATTCCCAATAAGGAATGTCCAACCCTTATTGTAGTCAGTCCTCCATATCTACAGATTCAGCCATCTATGGCTTGAAAATACATAAATTTAAAAACACCAAAAGCAAAAAAAAAAATTGATTTTGCCATTTAATGTACGGCACACAATTTCATGGCTCCGTGGTATAAAAGAGGACTCTGAACAACCTCAACACATTGAGAGGGAATAACACGGATGACCACCCCTTTTAGCGTAGAGATTTGAGAAATGTCCTTCTTTTAAATATTTTTTTTATTGAATACAATATAACATGGTCTCTGAGCAGATAATAAATGTCTGTGGTGAGCTTACACTGTGACAAAGTATTTCTATATTATCTTTTGACCTTTTTTACAAGTTTGTTCTCATTACATTTTTTCTCTTCCACCTCTTCCTACCTCCTTTCCCAACCCCACCCGCCACATTGCTCATTTCTCTTTAATTACATCTGTTTTGTCCTCCTATGAACCTTCTTCAGTGTAATAATGTCCGTTTGGACTTACTCAAATAAATATTCAAATTTCCCAAATTTCATATTTTTCCATCTTTCCATCCCCAGGCTATTACCGCCTTTCCTGCTAGAATCATTGCTTGACATAGATTCTTTGCAGCAATATTTTTGTTCCCTATAATTGCCATTAACATAAGTTCCACGATGACCTGGATTATTATTTTGAATAGTTTACCCATTTTTATTATCTTATTCCAAAAATTGTTATATTTAAACAATCCCACTCCATATGTGCATACCAGCCTTTCTCTACTTTAGAATGCCAGCACATTGGACTTAGTCCTATTCCCATATTTGCTAGTTGGGCTAGTATCCAATGACATTTCCAGATAAATTTGCTTTCTAACTCTATATTTTTTCTGTTTAATTTTCTTAACCCACTTCTTTATTTCCTCTATAGTTTGTTTTGTGAGTGGCCCTTCCTTCTGCCATTTATTTTTTAGTGTTCTTACTATATATTCATCATCTTGTATCATCATTTTATACATACTACTAATCCTTTCTCTGTTTTCTGTCCTTTCGTAAATATACTTTCCAACTTGCTTTCTCTGCCTAGACATTCCCCATATTTCTCTTGTTTAAGTTTGAGCCCCCGGTGGCGCAGTGGGTCAAACCGCTGAGTTGCTGGGGTAAATTCCCACTGTTAGCCCCAGATTCTGCCAACCCAGCAGTTTGAAAACATACAAATGTGAGTAGATCAATAGATACTGCTCTGGCAGGAAAGTAACAGCGCTCTATGCAATCATGCTGGCCACATGACCTTGGAGGTGTCTATGGACAATGCTGGCTCTTCAGCTTAGACATGGAGATGTGCACCAACCTGCAGAGTTGGTGCTCATCTCCATGTGCTCATGGACTTAATGTCAGGGGAAAACCTTAACTTTACTAAGTTTGTTATATAGGCCTAATACTTTTATCCAATTTTATATCCCACTTTATCTGTTATCTCACCTATGGCAATCAGTTGCCCATTTATGTCATACAAATCTGGTGGCGCAGTGGGTTAAACCCCTGTGCCAGCAGGACTGAAGACCAACAGGTCAGAGGTTCAAATCCGGGGAGAGCGTGGATGAGCTCCAGCTCATCATGTGGGGACATGAGAGAAGTCTCCCACAAAGATGATGAAACATCAAAAAACATCTGAGCATCCCCTGGGCAACGTCCTTGCAGACGGCCAATTCTCTCACACCAGAAGTGAGTTGCAGTTTCTCAAGTCCCTCCTGACATGACAAAAACAAAAACAAAACACCATGTAGGGTCGAACTCCTTTTCATATATGCTTTCTAAGGGTGCCCACTTAAATATTTCAGGCATCCAGAGTGGTTGCAATTTTGCCCATGTTTCAGTGCTAATTTTCTAGGACCTCTTCTTTTTTTAATGGAAGCCTCTAGGTTTCTTGTAAATATCCTGAATTTTCCCTTTCCATTGTTTACTGCTTCTTTTATTCTAAACATTTTTCTTTTCCCCCTCAGAGTTCAGAGTTCCCTCCTTTCATGACATTTCTGCCTCTTTTCAACCCTAGAACATGTGATGAGCTCCATGCCTCTCCGTGCTTGAAAAGAGGCTGAAGTGTGCTATGAGGGGAACATTTCTCAATGTGATATGGTGTGCATACATGGAATTGGATATACATTGGAAGTCCTGGAACCAAACCAGCAGATACTAAGACCCCTTCTATACTGCCATATAATCCAGATTATAAAATCAGATAATCCACATTATCTGCTTTAAACTGTATTATATGAGTCTACACTGCCATATAATCCAGTTCAAAGCAGATAATCTGGATTTTATATGGAAGCATAGAAATCCAGATTATCTGCTTTGAACTGGATTATATGGCAGTGTAGACTCAGTAAAGGTAAAGGTTTCCCCTGACATTAAGTCATGTCCAACTCTGGGGGGTAGTGCTCATCTCCATTACTAAGCCGAAGAGCCGGCATTATCTGTAGACACCTCCAAAGTCATGTGGCCAACATGACTGCATCAAGCACCGTTACCTATTGATCTACCCACATTTGCATGTTTTCAAACTGCTAGGTTGGCAGAAGCTGGGCATAACAGGGGGAACTTACCCTGCTCCCCGAATTCGAACCACTGATCTTTCGGTCAGCAAGTTCAGCAGCTTAGTGGTTTAACCTGCTGCGCCACCAAGGGGTCCAGACTCTTAAGCCAGTTCAAAGCAAAAATGTGGATTGTCTGCTTTGATAATCTGAATTAAATGGCAGTGTAGAAAGGGCCTGAGTGAATGGGAAATTGTGATTTTCCCAAATTCATTCAGCTTGTTTCCTTTTTTCCAATGTCAACACAGGGATAAGGGAGCAGGGTAGAGTAGCAGTAATCATTCAGGATTTTTTGTTTTTAGGCCTAAATTACTCCTGACTACAGAGAATTTCTCCATTAGTTAACGCACTATACAATCCATTAGATTGACTCGCCAATCAATGACTGATTGAATGAGCCTACTTACTCTATTTGGGATTGATAAACAGGCATCCAGCCACATTCTCTTAAGGCTTTTAGTGTACGAATGAAAAGTAAATTTAAAAAGACAGTTTAGAATTAACAACATTAAATAACAGTCTCCTTTTCAATGTAAACCTAATTAACATAGCTTTTTATATTACACGTATAATTAGTATATTAATATTATGATAATCTCAGTAT